CAAGCTGTTAGTTTTATGTTGCACAGCTGCAGAAATTCCAGAGAAATATTTTAACTTGGGGAGCACAACTTTTAGGCAGAAGCTGACTTCAATCACATTTTTGGTGGATTTTTTTTAACCTGACATTTTGAGGAAAAGATTTCCAATCTGTTCATTCATTCAATTTTTCATCAAGATATGTGTATTCCTTAATCCCCATACCCGATTTCCCCCGTTCCTCCACCCACCTCCCTTCTGGTAACCATCAGTTCTCTAAACTTAAGACTTTGTTTTGTGGTTTGTCTTTTTTCCCCTTTTCATTTGTTTCTTAAATTCCATATGAGAGAGATCGTACAGTATTTGTGTTTCTCTGGCTGACTTAATTCCCTTAGCATAATAACTCTCTAGCTCCACCCATGTTGTTGCAAATGGCATGCTTTCATTATTTTGTATGGCTGAATAATATTCCATTGTGTACACACACATACATGTCACGTTGTCTTTATCCATTCATCTCTCTGGATACTTGGGTTGCTTCCATAGTTGGGCTATTATAAATAATACTGTTATAAATATTGGGGTGTATGTATCCCTTTGATTTAGTGTTTTTGTATTTTTAGGGTAAATGCACAGTGATTACTTGTAGAGTAGTTCTATTTTTAATTTTTTGAGGAACCTCCATACTGTCTTCGACAGTGGCTGTACCAGTTTGCATTGTCACCAGCAGTGCACAAGAGTTCCTTTTTTCCCCCCACATCCTCCTCAACAATTGTTTCTTGTGTTTTTTATTTTAGCCATTCTGATATCTCATTGTGTGAGGTGATACCTCATTGTGGTTTGGATTTGCATTTCCCTGATGATAAGTGATGTTGAGCCTTTTCTTCATGTGTCTGTTGGCCCTTTGGATTTTTTTTTTTTTTTTGAGAAATGTTATGTTTTCTCATTTTTAAATTGGATTGTCTTTTGGGTATTGAGTTGTACAAATTCTTCATATATTTTGGATACTAACCCTTTATTATATATGACATTTGCAAATATCTGCTCCCATTCAGTAGGTTGCCTTTTAATTTTGCTGACTGTGTCCTTTGCTGTGTAGAAATTTCTATTTTGATATAGTCCCAATAGTTTTTTGCTTTTATTTCCCTTGCCTCAGGAGACATATCTAGAAAAATGTTCTAAGACCAATGTCATCGAGACATTGGCCTGTGTTCTTTTCAAGTATACGTATGGCTTCAGGTCTCACATTTAGGTCTTTAATCCATTTTGAGTTTATTTTTGTGTATGGTGTAAGAAAGTGGTCCTGTTTTCTTTTTTTGCATGTTGCTGCAGGTTTTCCCAGAACCATTTGTTAAAGAGACTGTCCTTTTCCCATTGTATATTCATTTCTCCTTTATCGAAGATTGACTAAATAATTGTGGGTTTATTTCTAGGTTTTCTGTCCTATTCCATTAATCTATTTTTTTTAATGGCAGTACCATACTGTTTTAATTACTACTACTTTGGGGGATCCCTGGGTGGCGCAGCGGTTTAGCGCCTGCCTTTGGCCCAGGGCGCGATCCTGGAGACCCGGGATCGAATCCCACGTCCGGCTCCCGGTGCATGGAGCCTGCTTCTCCCTCTGCCTGTGTCTCTGCCTCCCTTTCTCTCTCTGTGACTATCATAAATAAATAAAAATTAAAAAATAGTTCTTAAAAAAAATAATTACTACTACTTTGTAATGTAACTTGAAATTCGGAATTCTGATACCTCCAGTTTTTTCTTTTTCAAGATTGTTTTGGCTATTCAAGGCCTTTTGTGGTTCCATACAGATTATAGGATTATTTGTTAGTTCTTTGAAAAATGCTGTTTGTATTTTGATAGGGATTGCATTAAATCTGTAGCTTGCTTTGGCTAGTATAGATGCTTTAATAATATTTATTCTTTCAACCCATGAACATGGAATTTCTTTCATCAGTGTTTTACAGTTTTCAGAGTACAAGTCTTTCACTTCTTTGGCTAAGTTTATTCCTAGATATAAACTTGTTTTTGGTGTAGTTGTATGTGGGATTGCTTTCTTAATTTTACTTTTTGCTGCTTTATTATTATTGTGTAGAAATGCAACAGATTTCTGTACATTGATTTTATATCCTATGACTACCAAATTCATTTATCAATTGTTAGTTTTTTGATGGAATCTTCAGGGTTTTTTATATATATAATATCGTGTCATCTGCAAATAATGAAGGTTTACTTCTTCCTTACCAATTTGGATGCCTTTTATTTCTTTTTTGTTGTCTGATAGGTGTGGCTAGGACTTCCAGCACTATGTTTAGTAAAAGTTGTGAGAGTGGACATCCTTGTATTGTTCCTGACCTTAGGGTAAAAGCTCTCGGTTTTTCAACATTAAGTATGATTTTAACTGGCTTTTTCATATTATGGCCTTTACTATACTGAAGTATGTTCCCTCTACACTTACTTTGTTGAGAGTTTTCACATTGAATGGATGTTTTACTTTGTCAAATGCTTTTCCTGCATATGTTGAAATGATTATATCATTTTTGTTCTTTCTCTTGTTTATGTATCATGTTGAGTGATTGGCAAATATTGAACCACCCTTGCAACCCAGGAATTAATCCCACTTGATCATGGTGTATGATTTTTTTAATGCATTGTTGGTTTGCTACTATTTTATTGAGGATTTTTGTGTCTATTATCGGCCTGTCCTCTTTATGTCTTTGTCTAGTTTTGGTATCAGGCTGATACTGTCCTCATGGAATGAATTTGGAAGTTTTCCATCCTCTTGTATTTTTTGGACTAGTTTGAGAAGAATAAGTATTAACTCTTCTTTAAATGTTTGGTAGAATTTGCCAGTGAAGGTGTCTGGTCCTAGACCGTTGTTTTTTGGGAGACTTCAGATTACTGATTCAGTTTCCTTGGTGGTAATTGGTCTGTTCAAATTTTGTTTCTTCCTGCCTTATTTTTAGTTAAGTATATGTTTCTAGAATTTATCTACCACTTCTAGGTTATCCCAATTCGTTGGTATATAGGTTTTCATAATATTCTGTTACAATTGTTTGTATATCTGTGGTGTTGGTTGTTATTTCTCCTCTTTCATTAATGATTTTATCTGGGTTCTCTCTCTCTATTCTGATAAGTCCTGCTAGAGTTTATCAATTTTGTGATCTTTTCGAAGAAACAGCTCCTGTTTTCATTGATCTGTTCTATTGTTTTTTTAGTTTCTATATCATTTATTGCTGCTCTAATCTTACTTTTTGCTGGTTTTAGGTTTTATTATTTTTGTAGCTCCTTTAGGTGTAAGGTTAGGTTGTTTTGAGATTTTTCTTCTTGAGGTAGGCCTATATTACTTTAAACTTCACTTTTAGAACCACTTTTGCTGCATCCCAAAGATTTTGGATCATTATGTTTTCATTTTCATTTGTTTCCATGTTACTTTTTACTTCTTCTTTCATTTCCTGGTTGACCCACTCATTTTTTAGTAGCATGTTATTTAATCTCCACGCATTTGTGCTCTTTCCAGATTTTTCTTGTGGTTGATTTCTGGCTTCAATAACATGTGATCAGTTCTGGAGAATGTTCCATGTGCAATTGAAAAAGATGTGTATTCTTCTGTTCAGTATGGAATGTTCTGAATAAATCTGTTAAATCCATCCAGTCTAGTGTGTCATTCACAGCCACTGTTTCCTTGTTGATTTTCTGTTTGGATGCTCTGTCCATCGATGTGAGTGGGTTGTTAAAGTATTCTATTATATTACTTCCAATTATTTCCTTCATGTTTATTATTAACTTTTAGTATTTGTGTGCTCCCACGATGGGTGCATAAATATTTACAGTTATTATATCTTCTTGTTGGATTGTCCCCTTTATTCTTACATAGTGTCCTTGGTCTTTTATTACAGTCTTTGTTTTAAAGTCCAGCTTATCTGGGGGTGCCTGGCTGGCTCAGTTGGAAGAGCAAGTGATTCTTGATCCTGGGTGCTGTGAGTTCAAGCCCCATATTGGGTGATAAACTTAAAAAAATTAAGTCTAGTTTGTTTGATACAAGTATTACTACCCCAGCTTTCTTTTGACATTTATTTGCATGATAAATATCTCTCCATCGCCTCACTTTCAAAATGTGTCTTTCAGCTGAGATGAGTCTCTTGTAGGCAATATATAGAAGATCTGGTCAAAAGTAATATTCTAATCTTAATTTGGTATGCTCATTTCAGACAGAAGACAAAGTGAAATCACCTGGATCACAATTTATGTATCAGGCCAAAGGTACTATAAAATAACTATGATATTAATAGTGGTTATTCTGAATGGCAGAGCTGTGGGTGACTTTTTCCTAAATGAGAGAGTATTACTTTGAAATGGGAAAAAGGAAACTTTTTCCTTTGATGTAAAAACACGCACTTCAAAATCTTAGTTATTAACACCACCCAGATCTCCTTTTTGTATTTACTCTGGTTGTTGATCAGTTATTTATACCACTGAAGGAAGAACCATGTTTTGACTTTAAATGCCAAGAAGAGTTAATTCAGCTTCTTACTTTTTTTAAATGGTACATAAAAAGGGAGGAGGTATTTTGTGGTTGGCATATTGATGTGACCTATCCTGTTCAATAGGTTTTCACTGCCATATTTAAATAACTTACCATTTATATTTTATGTGCATTACTTTCAATGCTGCTGAATTAACATTTAAAGTTTGTATTTCCTTCCTAGTTTATCTGGGAGTGCTTCATTGCTCAAGGTCAGAAAACATGGGGCTCTGCCGATACTATGAAGACAGATATAAACTAGATTGATTTTGGCTTTCTTCTTTTTATTCATGCCTTCAGCAAATCAGGTTAAATACTATGCTTATATTTCATGGGTTATTATTTCTAGGCTCAAAATTTTGACATTTGATGGTTTGTATTTTGTTACTGATTGTATTTACACAAAAAACACACTCTGTTATTTCTCATATCTTATAATGTCCCATCTGTATGAAGTTAAAAAGAATCAGTCTCACAAAGATATTAATTGTCTTGGTTTTATTTTCATTCTGTGTTATCTATATATCAATTCAAACTACCTTTTTACTACTATGGTCCTGAGGTGTAAAACTCAAATTTTTGAATAAGTTAACAATAATTGATTTATATTTAATACTTTAGGAAAACAACTTTTCTGTTTTATGCTGTTTTATGATCTTTATTAAAAGAAGCTCAGAAAAATAGAGCACAAACTTCCCTTGTTCTTATGCTGTAAGACCTCTACATTTCTGGACAGTCTATAAAGATAGTTATGTGAAATAAATATCCATAGTTGAAATACAAACACTGAATTTCATTGTGCAAATACTGAAACCTATTTTTTTTTAAATACAGTTTGTTTCTAACCATATCAGAGCTGTTTTACAGTTAATGTAGGATTTCAAAAAATACAAAGTTACACCAATCTGATCTTAATATGCCCTGGTATTCCTGTCTCACTTGTAAAGTTGTAAGAAAGATTAGACAAATTTTAGTTTTTCTGGGGCTTTTCTAAGGTTAAATGCATTCTTTTTTGGTATTAAAAAACAGGAGATGTTTTCCCCCATTTAATATAAAAACATCCATTTACTTTGAAAGAGTTCTCAGTCTACCTCTGGTTAAGGTTATTTCTTATTGAGTGTTTGATCTAGATTTAGACAAATAGCAAGTGATCACCTTTCTGTTCTATGTTTATCGGGTCCTTCCTTTACTCCTTCCTGAGTGAGTGGTTCATTTCCTTTATTAACAATCTAGGAATAAATAGCCAGATTTCTGTTTCTGGCCTCTCAGTGAATGAACTTCAAATAATTAATCTTAAAAAACTATGATTACCTTCATTTTAATAACAAAGTTTTCAATGTGCTCTTCAAAAACGGAGTTGTGAGATTTGTTGATATTATAACTGAACTTGCTAAGGCAGTTAATGTTGCTTTTGGATTAAATGGGCAACTACATACTCTGAGAGAAGAAATGTTAAGATACTCTAAGAACTGAGTAACAAAAACCTATTGTGCATTTCTATTTTTTTGAGGACTTTTGTTTTTTGGAAATTGAGTGCAATGTGAATACATTGATAATCTGGGATTCAGGCATCTGGCTTGGAGAGATCAGTAGTTTTCCTGTTAAGGTGTCTTTGTTTATTTGAGGTAACAGGGACTTTGCATGCATGTGAAGGGAAATAGGCAAATATTTTTTAACTAATACATTAGTGAAATAGAATCAGTGAAAGAAAAATGGCACAAGCTCAAGATACAAAGCATTTTTTTGAAGTATTCAAAGTTGAGTGCACAGAGTCACCAAACATTTATAATTTAGATTGTGATTATGAATCACAAACCTTGGTGATTGAATCTTCTGGAGAATTTCACTGAATAAAAAGGAAGTGGTAGAAATGCTTCTGACTAAAAGGATAACCAAATAAAGATATAGCAATAAGCATGAATAGACTATATAACATTTCTGTCCGTATTTCTGACCCTCAGATAAGGTCTTTCCAGCCTATGTCATACTACACCATACTAGAGATTTTCTGGAGAGCCAGTGGGCAGTTCATGATGTAGCTAGGCCTGAATGTGGTACATGGAGGCGGACTGCACTTTACCCACTCTGGTCCATTTCTTAAAAGTGTTCTATTTTACAGTGACTCAGATATTACAAGCCATTCTCTTGTAAACAATAAATAAACCTGTTTAAAACTAGGAGCACACGGAAACAGCTGTGAACAACTTAGTTAAAATGTTCCCTTATGGAGATGCAAGGAACTGGATGACAAAAATAAGACACCCGAAGCACTGCCTCAAATCTGAAGGATGGGCAAGAAAAAAGAACAGGAAATTGAGTGATATGCATATACAGTGTCTATGGGTTCATTGGCCTACACTAACTTCGTCCAGTAAGGGTTTTTCCTCAGTAATCAAATAGAGCCTCAGATTATGTCACCCACAGAAAGGGAGGGAAAAGTGGAAAAATAAGACCCTTTCTGATATGTAGAGTCTTCTGTGACTACCAGAAAAGTAATCTGGATTAAATCACATCAAGAAATAGGTTATGATTGTACAAATATGTACAAGGATAAGCTTAGAATTTTTCCCTCATTCAGACAGAAGTTTCAGGGTAATTTCAGGAATACTATTGCCAGTTGCTTAGGGATTATTCTCCCCTTTTCTTTTCAGAAAGAATATGAATACTGTACATTATGGTAGCAATGTGTGAAAAACCAGGCCTAAAGACACCTGTACAATGTCTTGAATATTACTGGACATTCTTGTGGTTTAGGAAATGGGTTTGAGTTTCTACAGAGGATGGATTTAGCAAACAAATCATCCTGCTACTTTCCCATGAAAATTCAATATGGGATTGGAGGGGGGGTGTCCATGATTTTGTATGAAGGAAAAGAACTAAGTAATATTACATTTTAGCCTCCAAGTGGAGAAAAGCACCAAGTTTCTCTGTGATTTCATTAAAGCAAACTGAGTTCTCAAATCTTACTCTATTTTTCTAACTAAAGACAAAACTGATCTGGTTCTAGTGCTATTTTCCACAACAGAAAATTCCCCCTACTATGGTTTTATTTAAAAACCAATCCTAAATCACAACCCAATTTACATGCTGTCTTTATCCACATACAGAATTCTCACAGCCAGCAAGGCAATTTACACGTAAAAGGCTTTCCAAATAAATAAGCCCAATTCCTTATTTACAGAAGTATTCCTACCTATTATTTTGAAATAACTTTTGGTATCTATTTCAGACTCAATAGTTCATAATATTTTCCACTTATTATCAACAATTGCAAATCCAAGATATTAAAGAAATACTTAATCTATTCAAATGTAATCCTTACCATCTCCTTAAAGTTGGCTGAAAAGTGTTATATTCATAAACACGATGCTTTTGTGTATGGGTTACAATATAAACTCCTTTCCACAAAGGCAATATGTTGTAAAATTGATGTCTCAAGGCCACTGAAGTGACGACATAATTTCAGTCAAGCATTAAGAAGTTCATCATCTGAGTGTCCAATAGCATCTGGGTTTGAAAGTGGATCCAAGTCTGCAAATAGATTGAACCAGGCTGACATGTCTTGGTTACCATTGTTGGGAGCTATTAAAGAAGAAAAAACACATTGAAGATTTTTAACGTGATTTTAAAAACCACATTACCATTTACGTGATTTTTAAAGTAGATGCTTTTTTTAAAATTTTTTTTTAATTTTTTATTATAGTCATACAGAGAGAGAGAGAGAGGCAGAGACATAGGCAGAGGGAGAAGCAGGCTCCATGCACCGGGAGCCCGACGTGGGATTCGATCCCGGGTCTCCAGGATCACGCCCTGGGCCAAAGGCAGGCGCCAAACCACTGCGCCACCCAGGGATCCCCTAGATGCTTTTTTTTAATAAAAAAAAATTAAGACAACTGATAATTTTGAAAAGCTAATAATGCAGAGATCTTGTGCTTTTCTGAGTTCGTTAAATGTAAGTGATGTTACTCTGAGAAATTATTAAAAGTGAAAAGGCAGGCAGCAATAAAGTCTTAGAAACATAATTTTTAGAAATCTCTCAGGTAAGGTTCAAAAATAAAAGTAACCTTTGTTTCTACAAAGTAGGAATATTACATTTGTGTTTAAAATCTACATTTATTATAAAATATTAAACATGGAGGAAGAAAACCCTTCTGATTCTATCATATTAACATACCCAGCAGTTCTCATTTTGGTTTATAGTTGTTTTCCTTTGTCTTTTCCATGTACATTTTACAAATTTTTGATAGATATTTTATGGAGTAGACTGTGTCTCAGATACAACTTTCTGTTAACCAACTCCCTCTCACCTCCCTGCAGAGACTGGAAAATCACATATCAATAGTCTCCAGGTTGTGCTGTGGCAGATATTTCAAGGATATACATTTAGGCTGAAGGCTGAGACTAGTAAAAAAATACACAGTGGCACAGTGAGTCATCTCAGAAGGCTAGGCTCTTGAGTGTTGAGACCCAGTGGACAATCTAAAGACCTGCATATGAGACAGGACAGACAGTGGGCAGGCAAGCCATACTCAGAAGAGTCTAAGGCAACCCTCTTTTATAACCATGGTTTCCCACTTTCTGCAGATCAGAGGGCTGTAGTTTGGACTGTGGGAATTCCAAGCCTCAAAGATCAGGAAAAGTGAAAGGCTTCCATGTATTTCTAGGAACCCAAAATTAGTGATACCTACATAAGTTCTGGCCTTGAGTCTTCAGCACACTACCTATTAATATAATAATGGGGACGTCATATAACCCCACAAGCTCTTATTTCCTCATCTGTAAAGTAATAATCATTAAACCAAGATACCTGAGAATAAACAGGGGCCTATTGATGATTATTAGGCTGGAGGCACCTGAGTGGCTCAAATTTTTTTTTTTGACTTTATTAAAAAAAACCCTTTATAAAAAAAAAAAAAGACCCTTTATAGTCATTTCATGTCGGTTGGAAATCACAGAAGTTAGGCAGAAAAACAACCCAGGGGACAGATACAAAGGGAAAGGCATGGCATTTCCCCAACAGGTCTCTGCTCCGCAGGTGGCAGGTGGGGCCAGGGCAGGCCTGGGGCATCTATGCATGACCGGTGGGCCTGGCCACCAGGGCTCAGCTATCCTCCTCGTCCAGGGACTCTGAGTCCATCCGCACTCTTGCACGCTCCTGCCGCTCCTTCTGGGTGCATCCAGCTCGGGGCCCTCACGCACATTGTCATTGTGTAATGGCTGTTCAGAGGAGCCACAGCCTGGCCCCTCCTCGGAGTTCTGTCCTCTCTCCTGCTCCATGCTCTCCCCTTTCTGGGACGTGGCCTCACCGTTCACCGGGGCTGAGAGATCAGCATTCGCCTCATCCTCTACGCTCTCCATGGGCGCCTCCTCTCCAGCCAGTGCCTCCTCGGCCTTCTCCACCCCAGCTCTGGTCGCCATCTGGATGGCCTCAATCCCTTCTTGATTTTTGGCTGAGGTCATGATCTCAGGCTTGTGATCTCAAGCCCTGCATCAGGCTCCATGCTCGAAGTCTGCTTCCTTTCCTTTTTTTTTTTTTTTAAAGATTTTATTTATTTATTCATGAGAGATACACATAGAGGCAGAGACACAGGCAGAGGGAGAAGCAGGCCCCATGCAGGAAGCCCAACATGGGACTCGATCCCTGGTCTCCAGGATCAGGTCCTGGGCTTGGGCTGAAGGTGGCACTGAACCGCTGAGCTACCCAGGCTGCCCTCCTTTCCTCTTCCTCTTCTTCACCACCACTCACCCCCCAATCTACTATGCTCGCTCACTCTCTGTCTCTCTCAAAATAAATTAAAATCTCTTGGGCAGCCTGGGTGGTTCAGAGGTTTAGCGCCGCCTTCGGTCCAGGGACTGATCCTGGAGTCCCGGGATCAAGTCTCATGTCAGGCTCCCTGCATGGAGCCTGCTTCTCCCTCTGCCTGTGTCTCTGCCTCTCTCTTTCTGTGTCTCTCATGAATAAATAAATTAAAATCTTTTAAAAAAAAAACAAAATAAAATCTTTTAAAAAGATTATGCTGGAATAAGCAAGAAAAATCCCAAATGACATAACTTTACTCCTAAAGGAGCTAGAAAATGAACAATCAAAACCCAAAACCAGTAGAAGGAAATAATAAAGATTAGACTAGAAATTAACAAAACAAGAAACAACAACAACAACAACAAAAAAAAAACAATAAAACATGCCAATCAAACCAGGAGCTGGTTCTTTGGAAAGACCACAAAAGTGATGATAAGCCTTTAGCCAGACTTATTAAAGGACTCAAAATCAGATATGAAAGAGGAGAAATAACAAACACCACAGAAAGGATTGTAAGAGAACATTATAAAAAGTATATGCCAACAAACTGGGCAACATAGAAGAAATGAATACATTTGTAGAAACATATAATCTTCCAAAACTAAATCAGGAAAAAATAGGAAATTTGAACAGACCAATTACTAGCAAAGAAATTGAATCAAAAATTTTAAAAATTCCAACAAACAAAAAGCCCAGGATCATCTGGGCCCATTTGCCTTCACTGGCAAATTCTACCAAACATTTAAAGAAGAATTAATACCTATTCTTCTGAACCCGTTCCAAAAAAATACAAGAGGAAAGAAATCTTCCAAATTCATTATATGAAGCCAGTATTACTCTGATACCAAAATCAGATAGACACCACAAAAGAAAAAAAAAAACAACAAACCCTACAGGCCAATATCTCTGATGAACACAGATGCAAAAATTCTCAACAAAATAGTAGCAAATCAAATTCAACAATACATTAAAAAATCATGATCAAATGTGATTTATTCCTGGGATGCAAGGGTGATTCAATATTTGCAAGTTAACCGAGATAGATACATTACATCACGAGAAAAGATAAAAATCACATCATTCCAATGGATGCAGAAAAAGCACTTGGGACACCTGGGTGGCTCAGTGGTTGAGTGTCTGCCTTCAGCCTAGGGCATGATCCTGGGAGTCTTGGAATCTAGTCCCACATCGGGCTTCCTGCATGGAGCCTGCTTCTCTCTCTCTGCTTGTGTCTCTGCCTCTCTCTGTGTGTCTCTCATGAATAAATAAATGTATATATGAAAAAAAAAACACCTGACAAAGTATAAAATTCAGGATAAAAACCTTCAACAAAACAGGTCTAGATAGAAGGAAACATACCTCAAAATAATGAAAGCCTTCTATAAAAACCCACAGCTAACATACTAAATGGGAAAAAACAAAGGTTTTCCTCTAAGGTCAGGAACAAGACAAGGATGTCCACTCACAACTTTTATTCTACATAGTGCTGGAAGTCCTAGCCTCACCTATCAGACAAAAAAAGAAATAAAAGGCATCCAAATTGATAAGGAAGTAGTAAAATTTTCACTATTTGTAGATGACATTATACTATATATAGAAAACCTGAAAGACTCTATACCAAAAAACTGATAGAACTGATAAATTCAGTAAGGTTGTAGGATATAAAATCAATGTACAGAAATCTGATGCATTTCTATAGCTAATAATGAAGCAGTAAAAAGTGAAATTAAGTAAACAGTCCCATTTACAATTGTATCAAAAATAAAATACTCAAGAATAAACTTAACCAAGGAGGTCAAAGACCTGTACTCTGAAAACTATACAACACTGGTGAAAGAAACTGAAGATGACACAAAGAAATGGAAAGATATTCCATGCTCATGGATTGGGAGAACAAATACTGTTAAAAATCCATACTACCCAAAGCAACCTACAGATTTAATGCAATCCCCATGAAAATACCAATGGCATTTATCTGCATGGAACCACCAAAAACAATCCTGAACAGCCAAAGCAATCCTGAAAAAGAATAAAACTGAAGGACACAATCCCAGATTTCAAGATATATTACAAAGCTAGTAATCAAAACAGTAATCAAAGTTATCGAAACAGTACTGGCACAACAATAGAGACATAGATCAATGTAACAGAAGAGAGAACCCAGAAATAAACCCACAATCATATGGTCCATTATGACAAAGGAGGCAAGAATATGCAATGGGAAAAAGTCCAACAAAAAGTGTTAGGAAAATGGGCCACTTTTCTTACACCATACACAAAAATCAACTCAAAGGGGATTAAAAACCTAAAGCAATAAAAATCCTAGAAGAGCAGAGCACAGGCAGTAATTTCTGTGACATACTTCACATAGCAACTTCACTCTAGATAGGTCTCCTGAGGCAAGAGAAACAAAAGCAAATATAAACTATTGGGACTGCCTCAAAATATAAAGCTTCTGCACAGCAAAGGAACCAATCAATAAAAAGACAACCTATTGAATGGGAGAAGATATTTGTCAATGACATATCCAAAATATATACAAATATATACAAATCAACACCCAAGAATCCAATTAAAGTGGGCAGAAGATTTGAACTGACATTTCTCCACAGACATACAGATGGCCAACAGACACATGAAGAGACGTTCAATATTACTCATCATCAGGGAAATGCAAATCAAAACCACAATGGGGGATGCCTGGGTGGCTCAGTGGTTGAGCCTCTGCCTTTGGCTCAGGGTGTGATCCTGGGTCCAGGGATCAAGTCCTGCATCGGGCTCC